AAATAGGACATATCTAAAATAATGTAGGATATAGGCAATCCTGAAAATGCTTTCCATACCATATTTGTTCCATGCCATTAGTCATCAGAGATGAAAAACAAGCCGCAATGATACACAATTTCACTTTCCGTAGAATAGTCAAGATTACACAAATGACAGGAAAACAAATGTTGATAAGGATGTAGGGAAATGAAAACCTTTATCCACTGCTAATACAAACCCAAAACAGCACAGCTACAAAAATAATAACAAAACTACTATATAACCCAGAAATACCACTCCTATGTATGCGATTAAAATACTTGGAAGCAGTGACTCAGAGACTCACACACCGATGCCACCCGCAGCGTTTCCATTATCATCAGAAGGTGGAAAGACCCTAACTGTCCATCAACAGAAGAATGGATAACATAGATGGGGTGCATTCATAGCGGAAAGCTGGAGAACATGCAAAGTGAAATGAGCCCATCATAAAAGGACACATATGATGTGATCTCGCAAATATAGAAAATACTTCTTAAAAAGGGAAATATTAGATACCAAAATGTATTAGTGGTGATCAGAGAGGGAAGGTGGAAACAAAATTGCATTGCTGAACAGCAAATTGTTGGAGGTGCTATTGATAAGTTGCACACCTGTAAAAAGTTGAATTGGCAATTTGTATTATGAACGTGTTTGTAACAACATTTGAAAACGAACAGCCCCTGAGGCTGCCTGTTGCAACCCAAAGCTCAAGAGATTTGGTTCCTTGGGTTGAAGTTCAGGGCTTCAGAGAGAGCGCCAGTTCATTGACCTACTACTACTTTAATGTGGCAATTCTATCTCTCGGTTTGTGGTATAGTTCCTGGGATCTTAACACACTGCAAGGCAAAACAACTAGCTTCTTCTTCATGACAGGAGCAACAGAGCAAGAAGAAGAGTCAGGAATGGAAGACGGAAATAGAATATGCAGGTAATTGTTTCCATGAACGACTGCCTCTTTTGCCATGAGATCAGAAGTGATTGATTCCTGGCTACCACTAGTGAAAATTTTGAGAAAAGAATCTGAGGTAGTTAGTTTATTGTGCCAACCTGGCTGATAAACACATGTGGGGTTAATTGAAGGGCGATGTGATAAATGGCTCGGTGAGCATCGCCTTTCAAGTTCTTGGGTCTCTTACTTTATGATGGTCAGACCAGGGTGCAGCTGCTTTAGCCAGTTCTCTGCTTCAGCTGGCAAGACTCACTTCCTGCAAGACATCCCCAAGGAGAAGCTGCATGGACCTACCCCGATGCAGCCCTGGATGCTGGAGCAGCCGTGTGGAGACCCCTGCCAGCGCTGAGATGCTTACACATTCACTGATTTGGCTTTCCTCCTGCAGTCGGCGTCATAGTGTGTGTTTTGTGAGATGGAGGAGGACTTTGTGGATTGGTGTCAGACAAATGGGCTAATTTTGGACTTGTGGGCTTGGGCAGCAAGCACTAGGTTTTCTTGATGTGCACTTACTCTTGATATACAGCTCTTGCTCATACATGAGTTTCCCTGGATTTGTTTCTCTCAAGTACCCAGACTAACACAGAGTCTATAACAGAATCTTAATAGAAAATACAGAACAGAATTTCACATTGCTGTGGAATTCAGACACTGTTTGAGCCATGGAGGCTTGCGTTCATAGGGCACTGAAACTACTGCCTGGAGAGAGTCTTTGAGTCTTAAACCAGAAAAACCCTGAAGTCTTCACAGAACCACACAATATTTTAGCTTACCTAGTAGACAGTGCCTGTCGTGAGCATTGTGTTCTTTTTTAGACTGTCTACATGGAATCAAATTGCGATTACCTAGA